TTGAAATATAGTAGTAGGCTAAAAGTAATTATGGCTAAAATAGAATGTTAATAGTTACTTGCCTTGGATCCAGAAAAGTGGCCAAGCTGTACAGGGGCTCATGCTCAATGTTGCTGAATCTTCTCACAACAGCCTCCAGCAACGTAGCTTTGGCTGTACCCACGCCACGGTCTGTGCTCGCTTGCCTCTCCTCTCTCTTCTTTACAGTTTAAGAGTACTTGATGACGTTCGAACTGTTCGTCAATCCACTGTGCAGTAAAACTTAACATGGACATTAAACTTACATCAGAAGTCCAGATGTCTGTTGTAAAGCTGAGTGTATTTGTATTAGCTTTTAGCAGGCTGCGGGTGTCTCTCGAAACTTGGCTGAACAACTCCGGTAATGCAACATCAGAAAAATATTTCCGACTCGGCATATTATATCGTGGGCTCACGTGCTGCATCAAGCTTCTAAAACCTTTGTCCTCAACGACTGAAAATGGCTGGTCGTCTAATGCCATGAACTCCATCACTTTCCTCGTGGTAGCTTTGCTCTTTTCGTTGCTCATAAAAGCTAACAGCGACCCACCGACTGCCTCTTTGTTAGCGCTAGCTTTAGCATTAGCCTTAGCTTGGTTGCTCTCTTCAAACATTGCATACTTGGCGGCGTGGTGATTTCTTAAATGGCGAACGAGGTTTGTTGTATTAAAGGTTTTGGTGGTGGCTCCACCACGACTTACTTCGGCTTTACACGAATTGCAAATTGCGATCTTTGGCTCATTTTCTTTTACAGCGTAGAACTTCCAAACCGACGACATGGCTGCTCCGAGTGACCTGTGTGTGAGCTCTCACAGTGGAGCAAAAGGGGACAGCAGCTGATTTTCAGAACTTTCCGGAGGCAGCTACGATCGGTGGATAAAATCGGCTTCTCATTTAAAGATCGGCCGATCGCCGATCTCCCCAAATTAAGGAAATCGGGGCCGATCGATCGGCCGGCCGATTTATCGGTGCACCCCTACTGACCATGGTATTACTGTGCTCAACTGGCCTGCCAACTCTCCTGACCTGAACCCCATAGAGAACCTGTGGGATATTGTGAAGAGAAAGTTGAGAGACGCAAGACCCAACACTCTGGATGAGCTTAAGGCTGCTATCGAAGCATCCTGGGCCTCCATAACACCTCAGCAGTGCCACAGGCTGATTGCCTCCATGCCACGCCGCACTGAAGCAGTCATTCATGCAAAAGGATTCCTGACCAAGTATTGAGTGCATAACTGAACATGATTATTTGAAGGTTGGTGTTTTTTTGTATTCAAAACACTTGTCTTTCATTAGTGGGATGAAATATGTTATTTTTTTTGGGACAGGCATTTTGGGTTTTCATGAGCTGTATGCCATAATCATCAGTATTTAAACAATTAAAGACCTGAAATATTTCAGTTGGTGTGCAATGAATCTGAAATATATGAAAGTTTCATTTTTATCATTACATTATGGAAAATAATTACCTTTATCACAATATGATAATTTTTTTAGAAGGACCTGTACATACCACCCTCCATTGACCCAAGGCTGTCCTGTCACACCTCAAATACTGTATCTACCACCTCAGTCATGGACCCTTCTTCTACATATTGGTCTTCAACCAAATCAGAAGATGCTGATACTTCCTTTGCCTCCCCCTTCTGCGTCTCCAGAAGTCAGGTGAGGAAGCAGCTGGAGAGACTGAACCGGAATAAGGCTGCAGGTCCAGATGGTGTCAGTCCCAGAGTCATGAAGGTCTGTGCAGAGCAGCTCTGTGGGGTTCTGCAGTACCTCTTCAACCTTAGCCTGACCCAGAAGAAGGTTCCAGTGTTGTGGAAAACATTCTGCCTTGTTCCAGTGCCAAAGAAAACTCACCCATCAGTCCTCAATGACTATAGACCTGTTGCCCTGACATCCCACATCATGAAGGTCCTAGAGAGACTTCTGCTGACCCACCTGACTAGACAAACAAGCACAAATCAGGACCCACTGCAGTTTGCTTATCAGCGTGGACTTGGAGTTGGAGATGCCATCATACACCTGTTTCAGCAAACTCACTGTCATCTAGAAAAGGCAGACAGCACTGTGAGAGTCATGTTCTTTGATTTCTCCAGTGCATTTAACACAATCCAGCTGATTTGCTTTGTCAGAAACTTCAGAAGACTCAGGTGGAGGCCTCAACAATCACCTGGATCAAAGACTACCTGACGGACAGACCACAGTTTGTGAGACTCAAGGGTTGTGTGTCCAACCAGGTGGTCAGTAGCTCAGGAGCACCACAGGGGACTGTACTCTCACCATTCATTTTCACTCTGTACACCTCAGATTTCCAGTATAAAACAGGCTCCTGTCATCTGCAGAAATATTCTGATGACTCTGCAGTAGTCGGGTGGATCAGAGATGGACAAGAAGCTGAGTCCAGGGAACTGGTGGACCGCTTTGTGGCATGATGTGGAAACAATCATCTCATCTTGAATGTGAACAAAACAAAGGAGATGACTGTAGATTTAAGGAGAATCAGGAACAGGTCCAACCCTATTTCCATCATGGGAGAAGAAGTGGAGGTGATGGAGAAGTATAAATACCTTGGAGTTCACCTGAACAATAGACTGGACTGGAAATGCAACAGTGAAGCCGTCTACAAGAAGGGACAGAGCAGACTGTACTTCTTGAGGAAGCTGAAGTCCTTCAACGTTTGCAGCAAGATGCTGCATATCTTCTATAAGTCTGTTGTAGAGAGCGCTCTCTCTTCTGCCATCATCTGCTGGGGGAGCAACACCAGAGCAAGTGACTTAAAAAAGATCAACAAGCTTATAAAGAAGGCTGGCTCAGTTCTGGGGACTCCTCTAGTACCTTTGGAGATGATTGTTCAAAGAAGGATTTTTCATAAAATGAAGAACATTATAGACAACCCTCAGCATCCTCTTCATCAGACTGTCATACACAAGGGTGTCAGAAGCATCCGTAATGTGGGGGGGGGGACACAACGATGTTTGTAGGTGTGAGTGCACACGTGTGTGCACACACGTGTGCGCATGTGCGCAAAATAAATGTACACTAATGCACAAAAAAAGCAACATTTCACCTAGATTTCCTTTAATTCCACACATTTAAAGCATATTTCTCACCAAGTTTGTGTAAATTCAGCTGTGGGTTTTAGAGACATTTTAACTTTAATACAGAGCGTCAGGTCGACACTATTTGTGTTTATAGAGAAATAAAAACCATCACCACTAGACATTTTTACTTGTGTTCAACACTACTCATCTAAATGATGTTTCTCATGAACCTTGTGGAAAATAAGGTGTGGGGTTTTAAAGACATTTCAACTTCAATGCACCTGAACACACAGCGTCTCTTACACCTGCAGCGTCTCTTACACCTGCAGCGTCTTACAGCGTCACAGTTATTGCTAAGCTAAGATGCTACAGACGTAGCGCTGCACTCAAGCATCCTCCTAACATGAATATATGTTGATGATCAACCCCCTGGTCAACAACTGCCCGCACTAAGCTGCTAAACTGGCGAGTGAGCAACACAGAGGTGTCTCCATCTCCTGCACCTGTGCGCGTTTTCTACCGAAGCAGGAGACTCAGCAGCGGCTGCCTGCAGTTTCTGCTCTGTGTGTAGAGGTGGAGGTAACCTGGAGGTAACCCGGAAAACCTGGAGTGGAGTTTTATTAGATTGAATATTCTCCTATTAATCAAGTGGAATGGATTCGTTCACCAAGAAAGAGAAACTGCGCCGCCTGAATTAATGTTCCATAATAAAAGTCGGGGGGGGGGGGGGGGGGGGTCCCCAAATGAACGTTTTTTGTTTTTTTTTTATGTGGGGGGGACTTGTCCCCTTCACATATAATGGTTGTGACGCCTATGGGCATACAACAGCAAAGTGTCTTCACTCAGAGGCTTCTTCAAATCTGTTGTAAGACAGACGCTGCAAGAGATCCTTCCTGCCCACAGACATCAGCATCTAGAACAACTTTTTAATGAAACCAGGATGATGAGTTACCAGCATATAATTTCCCTCTGGGATTAATAAAGTATTTTTGAATTTGAATTGAATAATATTATAACAGGTCTACAAAAAGACCTGAAAATCACTGACAAATACAGGAACAGAGATGTGGCTTATTTTTCTTTACTTAAACAATCAGTACTGGTTACTTAGTATGTATACAAATTAAATGTTTTGTTTTTATTCATTACAATTATTGTTTTTTTATTTATTTACTTTTTGCTTGTGGGATATCAAAAGTTATTTAGGATTACATTTGGAAAGTTACTGCTGCATCTTAATTTGATTCAAATTAAAATGAAAAAATTACTTTATTAATCGAAAAGGGAAATTAAATGTAACTCAAAAAGCAAATTAAATTTAACTACTAAGTTTAAAGAATTTATGTTAAAAAAAATAAGACATGCTATGGTTAGTTGTGAAAAAATACGCAAAAGCATTTAAAACTTGCTTTCACTTATTTAAATGACTTTGTAACTTTTGTTAAACATTCAGTAGCACCAGCCTGCCCCGTTTGTTAGCAGGTAAACAAGTTACATGCTAACAGTGTGTGGCTAACCTGCAGCCACCGAGCTCGTCTGGTAAACAATTATTTCAAGAGCAGAACAGTGGTCTGAACTGTGGTTCACAGAGAGGTGAAAAACGCAAACGCAAACCAAACACTTACTGATATCAAGGAGTTGAATCACACTTCGGGTAAATAAACGAAGCAAAAGTGGCAGCCTCGAAGCTAACGTTGCGTCATCACTGTGCGTCAGACGCAGACAGCATATTTTTTTTTTTTTTTTTTTTTTGACTTTTTTTTTTTTTTTATTAAAGATTTTAATCACACATTACAAACATCTGTTTGCCAGGGGTATAGATATTAATGTAAAAGAGATAATATTCTAGTACAAAACATAAAAAACCATGAAATTATATTTACAATTTATACAGAGTTTAAATTCACAATTTATACAGAGTTTAAATTCACATTAAGCTTTTCCAGAGTTGAGATGGTTTTCATTGCCTTTTGGTTTTCCAGTCCATTAATTGAGGTGATGTATTGAAGAAGTTCTTTGCTGAAATGGGTTATGTTTGGTTTGGAGTTGGACCATTTTTTCTTGTGAATGTGAAACTTTCCCAGGAGAAGTAGAAGTTGGGTGAAGTGCAATAAGTCTTTATTCGTGCCTTTGTCTTCAAAGCATAGTATAATGTCTTTCTCTGTAAGCTGAATTATTTGTCCAGTTTTTTGCTGTATGAATTGTTGCACATCTCTCCAGAATGAGATTGTATGAACACATTGATAGAATAAATGAGAAATCGTTTCTATGTGTAGTTCACAGAATGTACAAGAATAGTCAATGTCAAGTTTAAATCTTTCCAGTGTTTTTTTTAACAGGATATACATTATGAATAATTTTATATGAAACCTCTTTAACTTTGTTTGTTATGCAAAATTTTTCCCAATTTAACCACATCTGCTTCCAGTTAACTCCTTCAAATATGGAAGACCAGAAAAATCTACCAGGAGGCAGAGTGATCTTCTGCAGACAAGTTCTTATGAGTTTGTTGGAGCATGTTTTTTTTGTTACATCGATTTGCCTAGAGACCAACTTAGAAGCCCCGTAATGCAGACGCAGACAGCATGATGGATCAATGACAGGGCAAAGTGGATGCGTCGGTCACAACAGCTGATAAGAACTTGTACCAGTTTTGTGTGTGCGTGTGTTTGTGCGTGTGTTTCGGTCTGTGCAGCTAAATTTTTAACAACAGGTGAATTTGAGAGTGAACCAAAAACTTTTCCTGAGGGATACAACAAAGATATTCTCACACAGCAAAGTCTGGAGCATGAGAGTTGACCCAGTTTCAGCTCCCATGGGACATTACAGCATCACTCCAGCTTGTACTGTGATGAGGTTTGTGTTCAGTGAAGCTGTGCTAGAATAGTTTATTGTCCTATGGAGGCTACACACACACACGCGTTTATGGTAAATGGACAGTATCTACAGGTGCTGGTCATAAAATTAGAATATCAAGAACAAGTTGATTTATTTCAGTAATTCCATTCAAAAAGTGAAACTTGTATATTATATTCATTCATTAATCAGGGAGAATCTCATCCACCCCTGGAGCCCTGCCTCCGCAGAGCTTTTTAACTACCTTGGCGACCTCAGCCACAGTTATGAACAGACCAACCCTTGACAGCCTCCCTAACCCAGGTTGTCTACCACCAAGTTTGATGATGGTCACCACAAGAAGCACCGACAACCTTGCAGCCACAGCTCAAGTTAGCTTCCTCAAGAATTAATACGTGGAACAGGGCCTACTCAGACTCAATGTCTCCCTCCTAAGCTGAGATGCAGGTAAAGCTCTCCCGGAGGTGTGAGTCGAAGATCTTTCTGATGGGTTCTTCTGCCTGGCGTTCCCAGAAACCCCTCACTACACGTTTGTGTCTACCGAGTGTGTCTGGCATTTTCCGCTGCCATCTGACCCAACTCACTACCAGGTGGTGATCAGTTGACAGCTCGGTTCTTCTTTTCACCCAAGTGTCGAATACAAACAACCGCAAATCAGATGACATGACTACAAAGTCAATCATCATTCTATGACCTAGGGCATCCTAGTGCAAATGGACACATTTATTATTCACCATTTGCAATTGGTAAAATAGTAATTTATTATTATCATTATTATTATTATTTATTTGGGTTTGAAGAAGTTGAGAACAAAGGATACATATTGAAATTATCATCTTATCCAAAAAACTTCTTCAGGGTTGACCTTCAGTGTGATTGAGGAAGCCTTTTGGATAAAAGATAAAACATTTCAACAAAGAAAAGTTCGTCCAGAGGACCTAATTTAACTCAGATTTATCTACCTGGATTATTGAGCATGCATCAGGACAAGAATGCATAGTTTTTACTGGTAAAAGCTCTCTCACATTTGTGATTTTTAGACTTTTATTTATTTAGTAGTTTTACTCGTAATTATTGCATTCACTCTCTGTTGGGTTTTGACTTCTAAACAGTGGTTAGTTTACAAACCAGCTTCCAAAAAAGTTGGGACACTAAACAAATTGTGAATAAAAACTGAATGCAATGATGTGGAGGTGCCAACATCTAATATTTTATTCAGAATAGAACACAAATCACAGATCAAAAGTTTAAACTGAGAGAATGTATCATTTTATGGGAAAAATATGTTGTTTCCAAATTTCATGGCGTCAACAAATCCCAAAAAAGTTGGGACAAGTCCATTTTTACCACTGTGTGGCATCCCCCCTTCTTCTTACAAGACTCAACAGACGTCTGGGGACAGAGGAGACCAGTTTCTCAAGTTTAGAAATAGGAATGCTCTCCCATTCATGTCTAATACAGGCCTCTAACTGTTCAATCGTCTTGGGCCTTCTTTGTTGCACCTTCCTCTTTATGATGCACCAAATGTTCTCTATAGGTGAAAGATCTGGACTGCAGGCTGGACATTTCAGTACCCAGATCCTTCTCTTACGTAGCCATGATGTTGTGATTGCTGCAGAATGTGGTCTGGCATTATCGTGTTGAAAAATGCAGGGTCTTCCCTGAAAGAGATGACGTCTAGATGGGAGCATATGTTGTTCTAGAACCTGAACATGGTTCTCTGCATTAATGGTGCCTTTCCAGACATGCAAGCTGCCCATGCCACAAGCGGTCATGCAACCCCATACCATCAGTGATGCAGGCTTCTGAACGGAGCGTTGATAACAACTTGGGCTATCCTTGTCCTCTCTGGTCCGGATGACATGGCGTCCCAGTGTTCCATAAAGAACTTCAAATCGTGACTCATCTGACCACAGAACAGTCTTCCATTTTGCAACACTCCATTTTAAATGACCCCTGTCCCAGTGCAAAAGTCTGAGCTTGTGGAGCTTGCTTAGAAATGGCTTCTTCTTTGCACTGTAGAGTTTCAGCTGGCAACGGCGGATGGCACGGTGGATTGTGTTCACTGACAATGCTTTCTGGAAGTATTCCTGAGCCCATTCTGATATTTCCTTGACAGTGGCATTCCTGTTTGAGGTGCAGTGACGTTTAAGGGCCCGGAGATCACGAGCATCCAGTAGAGTTTTACGGCCTTGACCCTTACGCACAGCTTCCAGATTCTCTGAATCTTTTGATGATGTTATGCACAGTTGATGATGATAACTTAAAAGTCTTTGCTATTTTACGCTGGGTAACACAATTCTGGAATTGCTGAACTATCTTTCTGCGCAACAATGGTGGAATTGGTGATCCTCTTACCATCTTGACTTCTGAGAGACACTGACACTCCGAGAAGTTCTTTTTATACCCAATCATGTTGTCAATTGACCTAATTAGTGTTAATTGGTCTTCCAGCTGTTCATTATATGCTCAATTTCCTTTTTCCTGCCACTTATTGCTACTTGTCCCAACTTTTTGGGGATTTGTTGACACTGTGAAATTTTGAATCAACATATTTTTCCTTTAAAATGTTACATTTACTCAGATTAAACTTTTGATCCGTCATCTATGTTATATTACGAATAAAATATTGACTTTTGCCATCTCCACATCATTGTAATCAGTTTTTATTCACAATTTGTTTAGTGTCCGCAGCACGGTGGTGCAACTGGTAGAGCTGCTGCCTCTCGGCGAGCAGGTCCTTGGTTCAAACCCCGGTCCAGGGGCCTTTCTGGGTGGAGTTTGCATGTTCTCTCCGTGCATGTGTGGGTTTTCTCCGGGTACTCTGGTTTCCTCCCACAGACCAAAAACATGCATGTTAGGCTGATTGGTAACTCTAAATTGTCCCTAGGTGTGAGTGAGAGAGTGAATAGTTGTTTGTCTCTATGTGTCCCTGTGATGGACTTGCGACCCGTCCAGGGTGTACCCCGCCCCTCGCACAGTGATTGCTGGACATGGGCACCAGCGACCCCCGTGACCCAAAATGGAATAAGCGGGTAAAGATAATGGATGGATGGAAGTTAAAACTCAGTATTTTATTAGCTGAGAGTTGTCCACATTACTACATTGCGAGCCAATAATGGTGAGATCTTTGTTTGAAACTTTGGTGTGTACATTTCTTTCGTTACTGAGCTTCACTTACTGCATTTTGTTTTTATTACTGAATATAAAGCCATGATGTAGACAGATGCAGCCTAAACCTTTAAAACAGAAATAAAATGCTCAAAAGTAAGTCATTTACGTTGTTATGCAGTTTGGTTAATTAGAAACTGTAAATTTGATCCCACTGATATCAGTGATGTCACTTTTCAGACTTGTCAGTAATGATAGGATTGTTTATTACGTCTGCCTTGAGGCATGCATCTTAAATATACTCCTCTTGGCATTCATATTTTATTGTATAGTAAAGAAAACTAAAGCCGTTGCTAAGATGTAATACATTTTCACATATAATCCAGTTGGCATTGAGCAAGGTGAACACAGTTCTGTTGTAATCTGACGTTTCTCCTTTTGGCTGGTTCAGATCTATAAAAACATTTCTATACAATAAATATATACTTGCTTGTATTTCTGTGGCCTGTTCATCTGCAATATGGCAGCCATCACTGGTGCCACACAAAGCTGACATCTGTCTGGGAAAGAAAAAGGAAAGCACTGAAAGCATCTGATGAAAATTTGCAACTTTAATAAAAAAACTAACAAACGCCTGGGTAATTATTGTAGTAAAACTGATAATGTCAAATAAAACTGGAGTAGTGCTCTTAAGTAAGAGGAAAACAATCTAACACAGCTTCACGTCGTCATTTTGGTAGAAACTGGTTTCCTCTT